AAAACTCCTAGTGACTTAAATCAAATACAGTATTCGTTCCTGGTTTTCAGATTTTATTCTGAAGCTGATAGAGTAAAATCAACAAAACTAGCTACCTTCTGTAGCTCTTCAGGGCAAAGCCACTTTTCAGATTTAAAACTCACAAAAAAGCCTGCAGAAAAATATGTCTCATGTCTACCATGTCTTTTCAACAAAATTCGAAGTGCAATGGATGTGTATTTTAATTTTTATATTCTACCAGCCCTTGACAGGTAGATGCCTGGATTGCCAATACTATTATCAATCTTCATGCACTAACAGTCTCCACGGCACAGTCCATTCTCTCTGAATATTTCAATAAACTTTCTAACCTCGCACTTTAAAATTATAATTTTGTTGATAGTAAGAAAGACCACAAAGGATTATGGATGCATTAGAAATTTAAGGGGCAAACATGCGACTCCTGTGAATCAGTGAAAATTAGTGGAAGCTTATATATAAAAGTCTTTACTCCCAAGTGTGGAGTCCAAGAATGAATTTACAGAATGTGTGTGTGAACATGCACACATATAACCCTATATGATATAAAAACATATAAGAAAATAATAGAGCTCTGTATTAAATAAAATACAATTTTAATGTTTTTCATAAAATACTACATTGAACCTGACTGTAGTTTAAAAATGAAAAATAGTACAAATCCAGATATTTCGATACCTGTGGAATAAATTCCTTAAGCCTGCTGACATACCTATGGCTAATATTGACCAAAATTTGCTTTCTAAAATTTGAGACAAAAATATTTAGTGTAAAAGGAAAGCATGGAGTAGCATAAAGACTTCGAGTAGTCTAATGTTTACTAATGTTACCTAGTAAATCAAATCTATGCTTATTCCATTACAACGGATTTTTTTTTTTTATTAAGTTCTTTGCCTCAAGACCTGAATGTTTTATTTCCTAACAGGGCAATTCACTGACATGCTGCTAAGAACTGTTAAATGAGACTGGACATTACATGCTTCACAGCTTTTCAAAAAAAGGTATCTTAGGCCTTTATTCAAAGATTAAGAAAATATTTCTAGCTCCTCACTAAAGTGTTTAGCCACAAGCTTTTCAAGTCAGTCACGTAATTTAAGAGCTAGAAATGAAGCAGTGTGACTGTACATTTGCTGCGTTTAAGTGCAGACGCTGTTTAAGGAACTGCACTCTACAAACTGCATAGTGGAAGAGCAGATAAAGAAAAAATGTTATGTTTTGAGGTATGCCGACATCCAGCTCCTCTGTGCACTGCCTGTACACAGTGCTCCTCTGTGCACAGCCACGCTCTCTGGGGCTGTGGCCAAAGAATACTTTCAGCAAATCTTTACAGTTTTTAGGTCCTCGACAGCAGGACTAAACACAGTGAAAGTGTTACTGCCCTCAGTGGGAAAGACACAACTGAGCTTTCCAGCAGTTAGCTGTGAATTGTGTAATCTGAGGTTTTTACGTGCATTCACTGTTTGCAAGTGCCAGGCTTCTTTGCGGACCCTAAGGAGCACCGACCAGGCTCACACCACTTACCACAAGAGTGTGAGCCTGGGTTTGCAGTCAGACCTGCAGGCTGCTAAGGCTAAGGGATCACCAGTGGAGACTATCGCCTTGTCAAACCGACACAGTCACTCACCAACACAGCATGCCAGAATGACAATTTTTGTCTAACACTTACCATTTCATAGTAACTTGGATCATTCTGACACAGAGGCAAGGTTAAGGAATGACAGTAATGGACAGCACATCCCAGAGGGTAATACTTTCTGCAGGGGTGCAAGTAGCTACTTCTCACTCATCCTGGTTGCAGCTGGGTCAGCAGGTCTGAGCAGCCCACGGCAGGACAGGCAGGACAGCAGCACACCAGGAAAGGAATTGGAGAGAGAAATACTCCAAAGAGTACCTCTTGCCTCTCCTCCTGCACTTGGTGGACTGACAGAGCCTGAGGCAGCCTGCTGACCCAGGTGCCAGGCATTGTAGTCTAAGACTGTGACCAGGGCTTCACTCTTTTTTTTCTTGGAAGGAACACTGTTTCCAAGACAATAGCAGCTGCTACTTGATCAAGGCTACCCCAACACTTTCCAAAAGCTGTTTAGTCAGTATGCTTTCCTCATTCTTCCTTCCTGTTACTTATGTGTCAGAAGAAAATCCATTTTCTATTTATATCCAGATTGCTTTCAGTAATGAAATCAATACATGGTTCTTAGGGAATTTAGACTAAATGCAGTTGTAACAGTTAAAGTGAGTAATCATGTTCAAAGAATGTAACTTCATTTTACTGTTACTGAACATCCAGAAAGCTTGTCTAGCAGTAAAGCAATCATCAGGGAAGCTTTTTAAGAACGAAGTTTGGTCTCCAATTGAAGATGCAAAGTCTATGTCAAACATCTGTTTTTCCCAAAACATTTTATATAGTCTAATAATAGATGAATAGATTACGCAAATAGGATGATAAAACAAACTACAATTTCATGCCTTATGTTCTATGACTATTTTTACTCTGTGACTTTATGCATTTGTCTTGGACCTTAGTGTTCTCAAATCTACTGCCATTCCCATTGTATTTCATAATGACTTTTAAAACCTCTATTTGCTCAGAAATTCTCCTTATTCCTTTGAATTCCTTGGTTGACAGCCAGCTGAACATGAGCCAGCAGTGTGCCCAGGTGGCCAAGAAGGCCAACAGCATCCTGGCCTGTATCAGAAACAGTGTGGCCAGCAGGACTAGGGAAGTGATCATCCCTTTGTACTCTGCGCTGGTGAGGCCGCACCTCGAATACTATGTTCAGTTTTGGGCCCCTCACTACAAGAAGGACGTTGAGCTGCTGGAGCGAGTCCAGAGAAGGGCGACAAGGCTGGTAAAGGGC